CGTCCTCTGTATACAAAACCATATCATGAATACTACCCTCCTCTCTCCCCAGACTCTGTCCAGACGATGTTCGGCCCTGTCCACGTAATGTTGTTTACACCAACTTTTAATAAGAATTGCTTTCTTTATATTGTTTTTGAATCCGCTCGCCTTCGGTCCTTCAAAACTGTTCCGGGCAAAATTGGGTCCCGAGCCCCCATCTTAACCAAGTAAGAACCCCTTAGGAAAGTTGGGGGAAAACTGAAAAACGTCGGGGCTTGCAGCGGGGGGGAGGCGAAAAGAAAGAGAGGAGGGGAGAAGGAGACGAAAGAAGAAGATAACGAAAAGTCTCGGCACACCAAAACTTCAACGCGTCGTCGGATGCGGCGAAAGCCAATCGAATCTTATCAATCAATGGCATGGCCCCCTTTCGTACCACATCCCTCGGCATTTTTTCCTCACACACGTTTTATGATGCAACTGCGGCGCCACGAATATTGCTGGAATATTGGCACAACGATAAGATCATTGCCGGCGAACAGATGCAGAAATCCCAGCCACCTATGTGTGGCCCAAATGGAACCAAATTACGTGTGTCTAGAGGCCTCCTAGATGGGGTCCGAGTAGAAGGGGTCGGAGGATCGCACCGCATCGCCGATACATTGGCGATGCATCGGCGATGCACCGACGATGCATCGTCGACGTGGGCGATGCATCGGCCACGTCGACGTGAGACAAATCGGGCTCCACATCGAGCCGCATCGACGATGCGGCGTGATTCTCCGACCTCATCTACTCGAGCACCATCTCGGAGGCCTAGAGCGTCGCCGCGTCAACGGCACCACATAGAAAGGCCTCCTTGCCAAAGCTCGATGACGAGCGAGACCCGCCTGCCCGAGAGCACGGGCGTGACGTTGTGGTACTTGTGCGACACGAAGCAGATGACGTCCCCGTGCGCCATCGCGTGCTCCAGGTGCTCGCCGCCAACCTCTGGGCGGGTGGCAACGAAGGGTGGCCCAAATTCGGCGGCGAGCGAGGGGAGGAGATGAGTAGGAGAAGGCCTTCTGAGAGGGCGGTGGGGCTTCTCGGCAGTGCCCGGGCCTTCTGGGATGGTTTTCTGTCTTCGGGGAAAGCTCACAATACCGATCAGAAGGCCAGGGGACTTCCGAGCCTTCTGAGAAGGCCTTCTCCTTCTCTGCTCGCCACCGACAAATTGGGGGTGAAGAAAGTGGCTCTACAGGGGCCGTACAGGGTCCCTTTTGGAGCCCACAAGGGTCCCAAAGCAACCGTTTCACCCATTTCTCCACCCACAATGGAGGGTCACACACCCCGTTACCGCCCGCCCCAGCCAACCTCCCACGTCCGAAACACGCCGCCCGTGAACAGAAGAAGAAAAAACGGCGCATCCGACTTACGATGCGGGCTCGGCCGCAAGAAACCCTCGCAAGAAACCCAACCCTGAGAACCCGCGCGCCAGGTGCTCCCGAAGGGAAGCCCGGAGCACGCTGAACGCAGCAGCTTCTTTATGGGGCAAACAAACCTACCTCGCTTTTGAATCTTCAACGGCTGCGGAAAGCCACCGCGCAGCGTGCGGAGCGAAGAAACCTGGAGCACCCTGACGGAAAGCATATGCTTTCTTGATGCGCGTCCCCACTGCATGGACCCCCTGTTGCCCATCACCAACCTTGGGCGGCCGGTCTCTGGCGGCCTCCCGACGGTGCTCGACGGTTCTTCCGCGCTCGTCCGGCGGCTGCCGGCGGCCCTCGGAACGCATCGAATCGATGAATCGGATCGGATCGGCATGTGCGTCGGATCGGCATGTGCGTCGGATCGGGCTGCATCGGTAGGGAGTCGAGACCGAATCGGATCGGCCGCGCCGGGATGCACAGCAGCGCCATGCAGACGTCGGCTCGCGTCGGACCGTCGGAAGATCGGAATCTGATCGGATCGGGCGAGCCGGAGCCGACATCGAATCGGATCGACCCGATCGAACTCGACCCCCGAAAGCTGCCCTGCCCCGTTGCGCGCGAAGCGCGGCAGGGGCAGCGCCCTGGAGGCGCGCAAGCGCACATCCGAGAAGTCCCCGCGGCCCTCCGAACGCCTACGGTTGGCCTTGGAAAGACTCGGCGGCGAGCGAGGGAGGGAAATGAGAAGGAGAATGCCTTCTCAGAGGGCGGCGGGGCTTCTCAGAAGGCATCTGGCCTTCTGAAAGGTGTTTTTGTTTGTGTGTGTGTGTGCTTTTTGTTGTGTCTTCGGGGAAGGCTTAGAAAACTTCTCAGAAGGCCGTGGGACTTCCGAGCCTTCTGAGAAGGCCTGCCCGTTCTTACTTCCCCCCGGTGTCGCCGCCGAACGACAGCATGCAACATCGATCTCCGAAGAGCACGCCATCCCCGTGGGGCGACCCCCCTGCGAGGGCCCTCCTCCGTGCACCGTTGCGCGGTCCCCCTGACCGAGCTCCTTCGGTGCACGCGGCCCTCGAGGTCGGGGATAGCGTGCAATAGGCGGGCCAGCGCCGCCACATCGCCCACTGCCTTTCACGCCAACCGTACAGTGGAGGCCAGTCCACAAGAAAGCTTCCACAGGAAACCCAACCCTGAGACCCCAGGGCGTACACTGCTTCTTGGTGTGGGCACGGCACGCTTTTCCATAGCAAAACCATCGAAACCCAGGAAACCCGGGGCATCCTGGAGGCAAGCAGGGTGCTTCTTGGCATGGGCCTCCTCTGGATGTCTACCCCCAGGTCGGGAGAAGTGGGCAGAAACACGAGGCAGGAAGGCGTTGGAAACAGATTGGGGGTCTCCGCCCGCCCTCCCAAGAGGAGGGAAGGGGGAACACCTCTCGACAGGGCTGAACCTGAACGGTGCTTTTCGTTTTCGTTTGTTTTCGTTTTCCCTCGTTTTGTCGTCAATCCGCCTTTCCCGCAAAACGAAATCAAAACGAAAACGGCCAATGAAATCGCCAAACCACCGTTTAGGTCCACCCCTGCCTCTCGACACTCGATGCATAAGGGTGCCTAAAAAATCAGATTCGGAGCGGGGGATCCCAGAAACACGCGTACGTGGCTTCAACGGCCAGTGGGCACGCCGAGTTTTGCTCTCCGAGGGAAGTCGCTGCCCTCGCACGCGAGGCACACAATGGTGATCACGCTCCCGGCGTCGTAGTGCTGCTCGTCCGTGAGGCCGCCGCCGGGCTCGTAGTGCCAGAGCTCCACGACCCGGATGGGAGCCGAAGAACCAACAAGGTCAGAGCCGCAGATTTCAGGAGGTCCGCGCGAGCATCTCTGCCCGGAGGATTGTAAACCTCCACTTCGGAGGTCGATCCCCTCCGCATGAGATGGAAGTATACCTCCAGAGTGGAGGGGGGACCAGAGCCTTCCGAGTGGAGGTCGAGCTTTTGATCTAGACTCAGAGGTTCTCCAGCCCCTGGGCTGGGCCGAAGGGAAGCTATGTTCGCGCTTCGCACTGCGCGAAGCGCGACAACCTTCGCGCTCTCGTACCGTCCCCCCTGGGCAAGAGGAGGACGAAGAGGACGAGGATGTGAAATCGCGAAATTCCGAACCGCGAAACCCTAAACCCAAAAAAGGCCGAGCATGATGTAAATATTGGCTCAAGCTAGGGTCCAAGATGGCGGCCCTCGTGGCGGCCCATGGTGGGTCGGCGCCGATACAGTGGAGGCTCGTCCACAAGAACCCTCCACAAGCAGCCCCCCCACAGGAAGCCCAACCCTGAGACCCCAGGGTGTCCCTCCCTGTCTCGTGCGGGAGCGCCACGCGTTCCACAGCGAAGCCATCGAAACCTCAGAAACCGAGGGCACCCTGGAGGCAAGCAGGGTGTTCATTAGCCCATGGGCCCCGACTGCACCCCCCCCACCGGCCCCGGCGCGCGGAGCGCGCTGGTGGGGGGCGGCGCCAGAGGCGCCGCAAGGGGGGGCAGGAGGAGTCGAGAGAGCCGCGCGAAGCCTCCGGTGGCGGCGAGCCCGGGTGGGGAAGCGAGAGGGGGGCGGGACTTCTCAGAGGGCTCGGAAGTCCTCGGGCCCTCCGAGCAAAAGCTCTGCGCCTTCCCCGAACCGGAGCACACTTCTCAGCAGCCCTCCGGCCCTCTGAGAAGCCCCGCCGCCTTCTGAGAAGGCCTTCTCCTTCTCCTTCTCACTTCGCCCCCCCCCCCCCCCTCGCTCGCCGCCGAGCCGCACGGGCCTCCGGAAGACCATCCCAACCCAACCCGGGGCCCCCATTTTTTTTCTTTGGGGGGGTGCGGGTTCCTCATGAGTTTTGTATTGCTCTCCGACGCCCCGCCCTCCACTGGGAATGGAGGGCAAATCGGGGCCTTCGGGTTGGGTTGGGGTGGTTGGGTGGATGGTGACCAGAAGTCTGCGCCTGTGCCGTTCTTGATTCTTCGAGGATGGCTGGAGGGAAAGAAGACGATGACCATGACCGAGACTGAACGAGAAAGCATCAGTGCAAGGTGCCGACCTTGGTCCTCGTTCATCCTGGTCATCGCCAATTCGTGAATCGTCCCCGCGAATCGGCCACGGCCTGCATGGCTGCTCCCTGGATCGCCCCCCAGAGTGGCTCCCGACCAGAACCTCGAGGAGCCCCCAGCCGTGGCGGCGAGGGCCCTCCCGGACAAGCAGCGGCAGCCTGGCACCTCCTCCTGTAGGGAGCCCACAAAAGGACGTACGCGCCCAACCATGTACATGAACACGGCCCCTCGATCCGCGAGACCGTCCGCCTGATACGAACATTCGCGCAATGCATACTCTCGAAACCAACGCGGATTCATGTACGTGTACGTCCTTCTGTCGCTCCTGCCCCGAGAGCCGATGCTGCGAAAACAGTCCGCCCTCGCGGAAAGTTGCGACCGGAGCCCTAGGCTTAGGTCGGGCGTGTCCCCCTACGGGCGGATCTTGGGCGAACAATTTAGAATACTCAAAAAATACCTAAACATGGCAAAACAAATGCTCCAAAAATCGTCACCAGACTATTCCTTGACTGTTTTTGAATATTCCTCCTGTAGAGGGACGCGCCCGGCTGAACCCTATAGACCCCACCTTTCTGCTGCATTTGCCGAGCCCGATCGATCTGCGATGGTCCCGGGGCCCGAAGCTGGGCGGGAGCGCACGGTCCTCGTGACCCTTCCCTCGAGACGGTGGGCGGCGAGCCCGGGGGGGGAGGTCCCAGCGGGGGCAAGCCATCTCAGGAGGCGGCCCAGAAAACTCCTCGGAAGGCCAGAGGCCTTGCGAGCCTTCTGAGAAGGCCCGCCCCCTCTCACTTCGCGCATGTTTTAACTCGCGGCCACAACGGACGTTGTGGGGGGATGGGGGGGGGGACGGAGGACGGGAGGGGGCAGAACGTATAGCGCCCCCCCTCCCCCAGACTGCGGTGCCGGACGCACTGCGGCAGTGCCGGGGGCGCATTGATGGGGGGAGCGTCACGTTATGGGGGAGAGGAGGGTGGGGAGCGCAGGGGGCATAACGCGCGTTACGGCCTGAGAAGCCGCCTGTCTTAGGAAAAGGCCCGGCAAAACTCCTCAAAGGCTGCAGGCCTTCCGAGCCTTCTGAGGAGGCCCGCCCCATCTCACTTCTCGAGTAGTAGTGGATCGACTACATAGTTGGTCTACCCCAAATTCTTTGTTTCGTCGAACCCATTAAATTCGACGAAGAAATCAATTCTGGGGTAAATCAATTCTGTAATCGATCCCCTACTCGTACTTCCCCGGACATCTGGCTGCTCCAATTTTTCGATGCGTGTTCCCCGGAAGTCCAGACAACTTCCCAAGGGCTGGCTCGTCGTCCCGAACCGTTTCTTTCACGCTCTTGAGGCCAGGCGAGGGCCCCTGGAGGCCGAAAACTGCCAAAATCCCGCCGCTCCAATTTGTTTGGAGCGTGGGATCTCTGGGTCCCCCCCACTGGATCGATCTGTGAGGGTCCCGAGGCCTGAAAGTTCGAGCGAAAACGCCCGTTGTGAAATCGCTGCCGCGCCAGGATGTCAAAGTTGTAGAGTCGACGAGGAGATGAGTACATTCTATGGTAAACAAGTGGCACGCGCGCCCTAGCTCTTGCACCAAGGAGTTGCGAGGGACAGGGGGCTTTCGCCTCCTTCCTCCAGGAGTTTCCTTCTGTGGCCGGGGGGGGGGAGGACGAACGACGAACGACGAACGAACGAACGACGACGACGAACGACAATAAAGAGGTCCGAGCTCTAAGATCACAGCTGTGCAGGATGATCAATTCTGCAGCCGATCCCCTGCTCGAACTCCCCCCCCGTCTCGCCGCCGAGATGGAGAGCAGGCGCACGTCGACGCCGGGCAGCGGCGCGCCGCTGCCGCTGCTCCAGGCGCAGCGCCCCTGCGCCTCCACCGCGGCGCGCAGGAGCTGGGCGCGGGCTCCCTCGGATCCCCGTGGAAGGCTCGGGGCTCCGCCCTTAGAGGTCCCTCGCTCGCAAGTCATACGCCGAAAAGCGCGTGGACAGATCTAGCAAGCACAATACGTTGGATCTCGCCCCAGAGATCCAACGCATTGTAAAAATCAAGGCGGAGGTTGTTCGCAATTTTCGGCCTCTATAGGGGGCCTCGCCGGGCCCCGGGGCCGACAGACGAGGATTAAGGACGAAACACTGGTTCCTGGGGAATCGGTCGAGACGTCCAGGGACCCCGTTGTGAAGAAAACACACATCGGATCTCCGGGACTGCAAGACCCGAGCAGGGGATCGACTATAGAATTGAATTGCCTCAGAATTGATTTGTCCGCCGGATCTGCCAAGCATGCGTGGAATGCTCGTAGTCGATACAAACATGCTACGTTCTTGCTTCATACATTCGGAGGAAATCCGCTGGCCCCCTTGTGGGGCCACCAGGCTGTAGTCTCAGGGTTTGCTGTTCCCTGCACCAGTTCCAGTTCCCAGTTCTACTGTTACAGTTCTGCTTCTTGTTGCTTACTGTTTCTGTTTGTAGACCGCGCGAGGGGGGGGAGCTGAAAACCGCCCTGGTTAGGACCTCCCGGGAGGGGTCTCAGAATTTCTCGGGGGGTCGAAATTGACACCCCTCACGCAGATCGGCGGGGTCAGGGTAAACAAACACATGGTATTTGCCAAATTTGTGAAATTCGGTGGCATCCCTCACGCAGATCGGCGGTGTGAGGGTCCAAAAACCCATGGGATTTGCCACATTTCTGAAATTCGGCGGCAACTTTCAAGCAGGTAAGCAGGGTCAGGGTCTAAAAACGCATGGGATTTGCCACATTTCTGAAAGTCGGCGGTACCTCTCACGCAGATCGGCGGGGTCAGGGTGCAAAGACACATGGAATTTGCCACATTTCTGAAATTCGGCGGCACCCCTCACGTAGATCGGCGGGATCAGGGTCGAAAAACCAATGGGATTTGCCACATGTCTTGAAATTCGGTGGCACCCCTCACGCAGATCGGTGGGGTCAGGGTCAAACAACACATGGGATTTGCAAACATTTAATGCTTTGTAGAAAAGCTTTTTGCATAGCATACGCGAGCAAGCTCGAAATACAACACCGAATTCAACAAGATCATCAAAATCTCAATTTGTCTTGCCAAATACTCATCGTCTTCGCGTAAAGTCCCGACGCTGCTTCACGGCGGTGCCAAGACCTCATGATTTCGCTCTTGCATTGCCCATTATCCGAGAGAGGGGGCCGGCCGCAGGGGGCGAAGCCCTTACGGATTTCAATTTTTGGGTAAACAAATTCAATGGTCGGTCCCTTACTGGAAAGACGAAGCCAGGACGAGGCTGAACTCGGGTGAGGATAAATCGAGAATCTCTGAGATCCGGCGGATCTGGAAGATGTCTCGGGCGCCGCGGCCTTCTCAAAGCGTTCTGGAACGCTCCGGAACGGACTCATCCTCGTCCTAGCCCCGTTCGATTTTAAGACTCCGGGAGGCAAAATTCGGGAATCCACTGACCTGGGTCAATGCAAACCCGGGTCAGTCGGGCTTCGCAGGATCGCAGGATCCTGCAAAATCCTGCAGGATCCTGCGCGCAAGCCGGGGTCAATGCAGCACCCCTGGAGCTGCAGGATCCCACAAGAGCCGGCACTCTGGCTGACCCCATTTGCATTGACACCCGTCTCTTACAGCTCGACAGAGCCGCCACCGTGCCGCTGGGTACGAGTGGGCGTGTCCTCGGGTCCTCTGCCCCATCCCCTGAGCCTCAGTCCTCACTCCTGCAGAGTCGTCACGGGGCCCGGACCCCAAATTGCGAAACTTCCCGGGGCTTCTCGCTTCTCGTCGGGGGCTTGTCGCGTCTCACCGCGTAATGTGTTCGGGCCCACGAGAACCTCAAGACGGGCCAAGAGGGCCCCACGAGGCCCCGAAGACGGTCCAAGAGGGCCTCGAGTCGCCGAAAGATCGTTCCAAGACGCCCAAGATGGCCTCAAGATGGCCCAAGAGGCTTCCAAGAGGCCTCCCAAAAGGGCCCCACGAGGCAAACATCATTGATCATCCTGAGGTTTTTGTAGGACTTGGGCGGTCTCGCCATTTCGGCTTGCCGACGCCCGAAGACGGCCCAAGAAGCCCCCAAAACCACCCAAAGACGGCCCAAGAAGCCTCCGAGAGGGCCCCAAGACGGCCTAAGAGTGCCCCAAGACGGCTCAAGAGGCGCCCCAGACGGCCCAAGAGGGCCCCAAGACGGCCCCACAAGGTGCCCAATAGATGGAATACGAACTGAAGTTCCGAGCCTTCCGCCCCAAGATGCCTCCAGGAGGCCCCAAGAGGCGCCCAAGAGGGTCCAAGAGACCCCCAAGAGGCCCCCAAGAGGCTCCCATGAGGCACCCAAGAGGCCCCAAAGAGGCCCCCATGAGGCCTCCGAGACGCCTCCCACGAGATCCCAACGAACATCCGATAGGCTTCATACCGACAACCCAGGCGCTCTGGCGGGATGGGCCGAAGGCCATCGGATGAGCGAAGACATGAAACCAGTCTTACGCATGACGAAGGAGCGACCTTATACAGCGGCTTGCGCGGGCCGCTGGCGCGGCACGCTGCATTGGAAACGAGGGCGCCTGCGCGCGACCTCGTGCGGAAAGCTTGCACGCGATTGTCGACGCAGTCGACCCCGTTCGCATCCGTCGCTCAAGCCGGGCCTGCGTGCGCGAGTGAGGCGGGCGTGTGGGGTCGCGGGGCGTGCTTGAGATGCGCTCGCTGGCATCCTATACGCTAAGTCTGTAGTGCTCTCGGGCCTGCCCAGACGAGCTTACAGTGGCCGTTCTGAATGCAGCGGAGGCCAGTCCACAAGAAGCCTTCCACGAGAAAGTCAACCCTGAGACCCCAGGACGTCCATTGATTTTTAGTGTGGGAACGCCACGCTCTCCATACATCCCCAGGACGGAAGTTTGTTTCCTCTTGGGCCGGGAACGACGGCTTCAAATCTTGAGCAGACGCGTATGAGATAACCGCCGTCGGATCCTGTGAAGTTCGCGCCTACGGGGGAAGGGGGTTCGGTCATTAACGTCCAACTCATTATCGCCATTTGCACCTCAAGGGGAAAATCTTTGGTCCTGCGTAAATATGAGAATCGTCGGAGCCCAGGAAACCCAGGGCACCCTGGAAGTAAGCAGGGTGCTTCTTGGCCCGGGTCTCCACCGTGTGGAGCCCTGGGGGAGTGGGGCCCTTCAATGGGGGGGCGAGGGGCCTCAAGCAGTGCAAATCCGCCCTCGCATCCGCTCCCTATCCCCAGGTTGAGGAGCAACGATACAGCAGTCGGAATGACCTAAGGCAGGATGAATAAGGAACGAAGCCTTTTTTCTCTCCCAAGCAAGTCTACGAAGTCCGAAGGGACACCAAGGGGGCTCGCCGCCAAAAAGGCAGCGGGAACGCATGCAAACCAAAGGAACGACCGAGCTCCTTTTGAAAAGTAAATGTTCCTTATTCAAGCCGGATCCTGTAGGGGGGGGTGGACTGGCATACTGGGGGGGAGGAACGTCGGCCTGGAATCGGCGATGCATCGCCGATTGATCGGCGACAAGCCCCTGGCAGCGGATCCGCACTTTTCCTGGGCGGTGTGAGGCTATCAGGCCCCTCTCGGCGATCCATGGGCGACTAAGGGTCGATGCACCCCCCGCCCCCCTGCGCTTGTCCGCCCCTGTCGTTGCCCCTGAGAGGTCCCCGTCCCTCGGGGCCCCATCTTTGAACCGCGGATGTTTGGGTAACCGCTTATGCCTACATGAATTATCGGCGGCGAGCGAGGGGGGGGAAGTGAGGAGGAGGAGGCCTTCTCAGAAGGCGGCGGGGCTTCTCAGAAGCCCTGCGGCCTTCCGAGAAGTCTTCTGTGCCCTCGGAGACGGCCTAGAAAACTGCTCGGAAGGCCCGAGGCCGTCCGAACCTTCTGAGAGAGCCAGCCCCTTCTCACTTCCCCCCTGGGCTCGCCGCCGAAACTGGTGATGAATGGCGGTCGGAAGAAGTGGGTAGAAACATGAAGCAGGAAGGCGTTGAGAGTAGATTGGGCTTCCGCCCACCTCCCGACAGAGGAGGGAAAACCACTCGACTCTTGAAGTAGGAGGGCGCCTAAGATAGATTGGGATCCGGATGTCCACAAATACCTATGTTTAACGACCGATGGGTACTGTGGCGTTCGGTGGCAACTCATGGGAGCCTCCCATACCATTTTGTCGGCTCTTGCGAATCGACGCTGATCGACGCTAAATCGACGCTAGTCGACGCTAACCGACGCTAAATCGGTGTGATCTCATCGACCCCAATACGCTAATCTGCGCTAGCCGACGCTAAAAACGGAATGACGAGGACATACCAAGCTCTCATGATCTGCGGCCGAGACATACCTCCTTTCAACGACCGATGGGTACTTAATGTGGCGGTGCCTTTGCATTTCCGGTACTTAGCGTGGCGGTGGCATATGGTCTGGATCTTCGTCTTCCCCCCACTTCCCATCTGTTCCCGGCCTATACCTTGCTGGGGATCGACGATTCATTTAGTCTACGTGTTTTTCTCCTCCTGAACAGATACCTACTTTCAACGACCGATGGATAGTGTAACAGTGCTTTTACAAGAATCAGGGGGAGCCCACGGCTTGGCGAGCACCCGCGGCGCGCGGCTTACCAGCCGCGCCTCGTCCGGCGCTGCGGGGCCATGCAGGAAGAGGCAAGTCTCTGCCAGGCCGCAAATCTTAAGAGGCGGCTCGTGTAGAAGAAGGAAAAACGCCATAACATAAACTTTTGGCGCTCCGCGCGGGTTTCCTGGATCCGCGCTTGGGCCCCCGGCGGCGCCTCCGCGCACCAGGAAGAGGGGTCCAGCGCAGATCCAAGAAATCCACGCGGAGCGCCAAAAGTTTATGTTTATGGCGTTTTGTTTTTCTTCTTCTATCGTGTGGTGTCTTCTAAAAGACGCCAGGACGAAGGCAAAATCGAGCGAGGAAAAAGCAGGAATCTCTGAGATGTGGGGGCTCTGGAAGATGTCTCGGGCGCCGCGGCCTTCCCACAGCGTTCCGACACGCTCTGAGAGCGTTCTGGAACGCTCTGGAATGGATTGCTCCTCGTCCTAGCCCCGTCTGAAGGGGGCCTTCGTACGAACGTTCAAGTGCTATTAAGCCCATTTTGGGGGCCATCGGGCCAAATCAGGCTGGATTAAGCTTGAGATGAAGCTTGAAATTAAGCCGGATGAAGCGGGACTGAGAATCATGAGCCGGGATTGCGCCGCTTTTCGACCACGGACATACCAGCGCCGATTCTGAATCTAACCTCCCAGGAGCTGCATCCTAATTCACAGGTCCCACGATTGGCGTTGGAAAGAGATAGCGTGCAGTATCGAGCTCCGAAAAGCACGCAACCCCTGTGATAGAGGACGAAAAAGCGGCATAAACTTAGATTGCTCCCATCGCACTCAAGGACCACGCCCCAGAAATAATTTCGAGCACCCAGGAAAGTATCGAAGCAGTGTCGAACGAATACAGCCTGCCCAGGGCCCGACACCTGAAAACCCTCAAGTTTCGGTAATTTCTTGGTGCTCGAAATTCTTTCTGGTGATCAAGGCCAAAGCAGGTTGGAGCATTATGAGCATAAACACTGACTGTCGGAGCTCTGCGCGGATTCCTTGGATCGGCGCTGGGAGCCTCCCTGGCGCGCGAAGCGCGCTAGGGGCCGGCGCCGGAGACGCCGCCATGGGAGCTCCAGCGCCGATCCGAGAAACCCGCGCGGAGCTCCAGAAGTTTTCGGGGGCGCGTAAACATGGATTAGAGATCCAAGGGTTTGGCGCGCGGTCGCCAAATCCATGGATCGGAGGAAGTGCCCTGCACAAAGGGCGGCCGGTGCCGCCTCGCTCGGCGGCGGAAATTCGCGATTTCCCTTGGAAGCGGGAGCCGTCGCTAATCCACGCCCCCTTGATCCATGTTTGCGGTCGCCTGACTGACGCGCGGAGCGCGCGCCGGAAACGCCGCGAGGGGGTTCCAGCGCCGATCCAAGAAACCCGCGCGGAGCTGCAAAAGTTTATGTTCATGCCGATGCTTTTCTTCGATGCGAGGCGATCCCCCGCGAGGGCCACTCCTGCGCACACTGCCCCCCCCCGCAAGGGCCTGGTCGGCGCGGGCTGTTCCCGAGGTGGGGGATGGCGCGTAGTTCGGCGGTGGACAAACCTCCCTTTAGCAAATCTCCCTTCAGTGAAAACGGCCTAGGACCGAAACCGACGGACCTGGACCCGCAAAAATGACGGCCGCGACGCCCTCTCGCGGACCGAAAACGGCCAATGCGCTAATCGACGCGTCAGGGCAGGAGGTCCATCAACCTCCGAGTAGTAAGCGGGCCAGCGGCGCCACATCGCACGCTGTGTCTTTCCAGCGCGCCGGCCCCACTCGAGGGGCCACCGAGCTAGATGGGCCCAGCCTGCGCCTACGAGCCTCGTCAAACATAGATCGAGACGCCGCTCAAAATCGAAGCGCCCGATGCTTCGGGGGCACTCGTCAGATCGCGCGTTCCTCAATGCTGTGAGGGCACTGCCGGATTTCGGACACTGACAAGGGCACCTCTGCGCGCGGACCAGACACTTCATGCCAGCACTGAAGTAGCGCCAACCGCGCAAGCGCAGAACACAGAAATCGTCAATTTATGTTTGACGTATCTTGTAGGACTAAGCCGCACTGAGCTGGATTCTTGGGAGTCCCGAGGCGCCGCGATGACAGACTATGCGGCGACCTGGAAATACCCAACGGCCTCACTGCACGGTCCGTCACTGGACAGTATTTCATTACACCTGCCGTGCAGACGTGCTGCAGCGGATTTCTGCGTGAATTGTTGCCCGAAACGGCGACCGAAAAACGAAGTGAATTTCGCGTGGACTTTCGTTTGTCTTCATTCCTGGCCAACAAAAAATCCGCACGAAATTCACCTCGAATCGGGAACGAAATTCTCCAGGACATTCCATCTCATTGTTTTCCGAAAGAGAATCCGCTCTGCGATGTCGGCACCATGAAGTTTTGGGACCTTGGTAGCCCCAGTCGCCCGAGACGCCCTCGGCGACCGAGCCACGTCCCGAAACCGTGCGGTCAACCCGACCCCCCTGTCCCACCACACGGTGAGGCCACCACACCGATAAGGAGCTGCCGCGATGGGCCAGAGGGACTGGGCCGGAAGACGGTTTCCGACCGCGGAAATGTTCCTACCCATATATGTATATATATATATATATATATATTATATATATATATATATATATATATATATATATATATATATATATATATATATATATATATATATGTATATATTTATAGGGCCGCGGACGCCGGAAAAAACCCTCCCCCCTCCCCCCACGGATTTGGCCCTCCCAAGGGCCTCCGGGCAACCCTTCAGACGACCCGGGAGAACCTCACGAGAGCCCGAAGACGGCCCCAGACGGGTTCCAGGCGTTCGGGCGCGCTTTCGAAACGACCCCAGAAAGCTCCAATACGGTCCACGACGACCCCCAAGAAGCCGTCATACCCCCGAAGATCGATCCAAAACGTCCCATGAGGCCTCCAAAAGCACTCCCAAGAAGGCCCCAAGAGGCACAAATCATTGATTTTCTATGTGATTTTTGGGGTTCTCCTCTTTTCGGCTTCCCGACGCTCCAAGAGGGCGGTCTTCTGGGCGTCCGAAGCCGCCTGGGAGGCTCCCAAATCGCCCCACAACCATCCGAAAGAGCTTCTAAGCAGTCCAAGAGGGCCCCAAAACGGCACAGCAGGGTCCAAGATGGCCCTAAGAGAGCCCCATGGCGGCCCAAAATGGTCACAAGACATTCTAAATCGTTACCCGGTCGTTCAGGGAGACCGCGGTTGGAGGCACGGTGGCCCGAGGAAGCCCCCAGAGGCCCCCAGAACACGCCCAGGAGGTCTCCAGAAGGCCTTTTTGTGGAGGCTCTCCAGGGAGGAGCCTCCGCAAAAAGAGCTGAGGATGGGGAGAATGCGCAGGGTATGGCGAGAATGAGGAGAAAGAAGCATGGAGGAAAGATCATGAAAAACAAGATTATGACGGCGATGCCGGAAAGGCAACAAGGAGTTATCGCTAAATTGTCGGCTTGACCTTCCTGCAATTACGCCTGCACACCAAACTTCAAGGACCAAAGTGCATGGCGCGAAGCGCCACTGCAGCCCTGTATACAAACACACACACACACATTTTTATATATATATATATAAATATAAGCATGTATGTATGTGTGCATGCTTGCAAGTATTTATGTGTGGATTCATGCATGTCTGTATGAAAGAAGTGTATGTATGTGTGTATACGTGTGTTTGTATATATGTATGTATGTAAGTACGTATGTATGCATGTATGTATGTATGTATGTATGTATGCATGCATGTATGTATGTATGTATGTATGTATGTATGTATGTATGTACGTGTGGATGTATGTATGTATGTATGTATGTATGTATGTATGTATGTATGCTTATAAGTATGCATGTATGTGTGCACGTATGCATGCACGTATGTATGTACGTACGCACGTCTGTATGCATATATATATACACATATACGTAGGTCTATATGTATGCATGTATGTATGCATGCATGCATGCAGGCATGTATGTATGTATGTATGGAATTTTGATTGTACATATACATATATATATGTGTGCAAGTACGAATGCATGCATGTATAGATGGATTGACGTGTGTATGTATGTATGCATGCATGTACGTATGTATGTATGTATGTATGTATGTTGAATGTATGTATGTATGTATGTATGTATGTATGTATGTATGTATGTATGTATGTATGTATGTATGTATATACATATATATGTTTGCATGTATGTATGTATGTATGTATGTATGTATGTATGTATGTATGTATGTCTGTATGTATATATGTGTGGGCGCTTGCCTTGGGAACATTCGGCGGCGCGTTTCGAACCAGGGGGTGGCCCCCCCCAACACTCGGCGCCGTCGATCAGAACCAGTGGGACTTCCCTCCTCCCTATTCCCAAACCCCCCCTCCCTCCTTCCCAAGGGGGGGAAGTCCAAAACATCTCCCCCCCTGCGCCTGCGCCGGCGTTGGCGGCCGCCAGCATCGCCGACGGCGGGGACGCAGCCACGATGACCAGAGGGGGCAAAGAGGAGGGGGGGAAGGGGTTCCACCCCCCCCCTTCCGCGCCGGCGCCGGCGCCAGCACTGGCGGCGGCCAGCAGCGCCGACGGCGGGGGCGCAGCGACGATTACCAGAGAGGGCCCAGAGGCCGCAGAGGGAACACACACAAATCGCCATGTCGAGCTCTCGCCCCCCAGAAGACACGGAGAGGCCCTCAGGAAGGTCCACGAGGCTTCACACATGCTCCTCAGACGCCCCCGAGACCTTTCTGACGAAACCTCAAGACTCAAGAGATCATCCCCGGCAATGCAGCGCGGGACCCTGGTCTCGGGAGGCAAGAATAACAAAACAAACTCGCGAATGGAAACTTTGAACGCTAGTGCAGTAGTACTGTGTACTGAGGACTACTACGGCATGTATAAACAATAGCGCAGTAGTAATATGTACGAGCCCACTGTTCCGTAATAGTAGCACTCTAGTTCTGACTGTAGTGGTAGTACTCTAGTATTGTAGGTACTCTAGTACTCTAGAAGTAGTAGTATAGTGCTCCAATACTGACTGGGGTAGTATTGTACGTA